TTTTTGGGGGGGGGGGGGTACAAAAGCAAGGGTATATCAATAGTGAGTACTGATACAACATCAAGACAATGTTAAATTAGGAGTTACAAACTTCTGACTAGCGGTAAGAAAGACTGAATGCAGATGTTTTACTCTGACTTGCTCCTCCTTGTGGATTCAAATCCACAGCTGCTAGTTTCAGCGATATAGATTTCCGTCGCTCTGAACTTGTTGTTTCAGAGTCTGCACAGTTGGCTCAGTAACTTATTCCATTGTGGCTAGCATTTCCCTTAAGGTTCTTTCAGAGTCCAACTATCGACTTCTCATTATATGGAATTATTCCCAGAAGGAAGAAATTCAGCGCAACTGTCAGATACCAGGTAACAGGGGCAGAATAGAGGAGTACTCACCAAGGAAAAACCTGATCTAGAAACATCAAAAGACAAACAAAGTGCCACAATGACACGATGGTGCTTTTTCAAAGTAGAATTAAGATATACATGTGTGATTGGATGTGTAAAGTGTTTGCAGCTTTTACTTTTGTATTTCCTGATCTTTTGAATTTCTCTCTTAAATGAGAATCTCCCACCCCCAGTTTTCCTTTTTCATTCAGACACAGCTGTTCTCACTCCCTAGTTGTGCAATCTGGTTTGGCAACTTTGTTTAGATACAGAAAGCCCAAATCCTGGAACTATGCAAACATGCAGTTTTGTTTTTCCAAAGTAAGAGATTTACCAGAACAAGTCTATTAGTTTTTTTTTCCCCTTTGTCTACAGTAACAGTGGAGTTGTATATCTTCACAGGAAGAAATGCAACTAAACACCAAATGGTGTTTTCCAACTGCGTATTATCAATTTGTTTAAAGAGTTGCTTTGTTTTCAATGTGCCAATTGAAGCTGGAAGTATTAGGAGGCAGCCATCTGTCTTGCAGACAGATGACATGCATGAATAAGGAGCGTGGTTTGTGTTTGCCGTCCCTCGTTCCATGACATCAACTCTTTAAAAAACAAAGATTTATTAGATGTTTGAAATCCTATGCAAGGTAGGTAGCACATAAGACTTTTGACAGATGGGGGAGCAGACAAAAGCATAGGTGTGTGCGCAAGATTACATAACAAGCTTGATTAACAGTCCCCTCCTTTTTAGTCATTAAACAGGTATCACATTCTCTCAAACTCAGACATCTCTTCACTGGCATTTACTCTCCAAAAAACTAACGCAAAAAGCTTTTACCTGCTTTCCAACGCTGTTAATATCAAACTGCAATGGAACTCCTTTGGGAATCTTCTTCTCTTCAGTTTGATTCCTCTTCATTAAAAATGGCGGCATCGGAGTGCGAGCAAGGCGCGGCTTCTGGGAACTGAGAAGACAGACTGCTTTAAAATGGCACACTGAATAAAGGGGTTGGTATAACAACAGGCATGCTTTACCACATCTGACAATGCAAGGTAAAAAGACCACCTCTGACAATGCTCATGTGGTCATGTAATTTATTAATGATGCAGTTAGGATTTAATCGGTGTAACATCGAGTGAAGAGTTGAGAATCCTTGATTTTAAACAAGATGTAAATGATGATACTACTAAGAATACCTTTTTAAAAGGGCTAGAAGAGTTTGAGAGAGAAAGCACTTTCACCTCAGCCTTATTTCAAACCCCCAGTACCACTGAGGAAGAGGCTAAAAACAGACACCCATTTAAACTGGGGCCAATTAATCCAAGATTTGCCTCACATCAAAATAGGCAGAGACCATCCTTTACACAGTAGACTTAAATGGTAGTTAGCTCAATTAGCTGTAATTGTTTTGAGGCAGTGTTAATTTGGATACTTCACAGGGATAATAGGCTCATCCATTTGCAAGGTCTGGGATCAATTTCAAATCCAAATCAAACTGTTGTCTGTTTTTGGCCTGAATTATGACTCTATTATTGCAAGAGGGGACTACCAAAAGAACAAGCCTGGTTGAGTTCCTCATCAAGGGCACGTATCACCAATTTAAGTTTTGCCCAAAGACCCAGCATAAATATCACAACAGCAACTGTTCTGCCAAATTTTCAACATGGGGCACAGGAACACTTGCTTTAGGTTCAAATCCACTGTGATCTCTACAAAGATCCAGATACTGCCAGAGGCATGCTGACCACAGCCCATACTACTTCTTTGGCATCTAAGTGACATCCTAGTCCACCTTCATCAAATTCCTAACTGCATTTATTTTTTGCAACCTGCTGTCATATTAGCCTGAAACCAAAGGAAAAAAAAGACAGCAAGGAGAAGGAGTTCCTTCCTGTCTTTTCTATTCAACGGTTTTTCGTGACTTAAGCAAGGGATCACACTTAAACACTTAGGAGGTGGAGTAGGAGTGGCCCTTGGCTGTTCTGACTCAGAGGGGAAGGAAAATCAGCCAGATCAGACTGCAAGAAAGCTGAGGATGAAAGCAAAGGTTCATCCACCTCAATTTTAAGCTGCCACAAACTTTTCAATTCAACCTCCTAACTGAGGGGCCTCAAGTGAAACCCAACACTTACCTGAACACAGACTGAGAAACAATCCAGATATGCCTGTGAATGCACTGTAAGATCAGAGCCTAACTCCCACTCAATTCACTGGGACCAGGAGTTGTGAAGAGCCTGCAGGACTTGGTCCAAAAACATTTACTTAAAAGAGTGTTCAAAATATTCTACTCACACTAGGGATGTAATGGCTCCAGGATTGTCAATAGATACAGTCAGAATCCCTCCATTTGTGGTGGAAGTTCGCCATCTAGTTTGAAAATAGAGGAATCACTTATCCAGACAGGAATTCCAGCAAACCACATGAAATGCACATTCCCAACAGCTTTCCAGAACACACTGGTTGGGAATAATGCTACAAATCTACACAAACTAAACAAACGTAGTCCTTTGCCTCCTCCATGTTATCTAGCTCTAGAGTTAGGGCAGGTTTCTGAAAAGGTTTATTGCACACAAGGCCAACCTGGCCTTTCCATCAAAACCAAGAGTGACAATCAGCGATTCAGTGGCCAGTGCTGCCTTCACCTGACCTGTCTGTTCCTCCTTGTATAACGTGCAGCAAAATCTTTTGTTTACCTATGAAGAGCCTGGGTAGCAGACTCTTTTCTGATTGAATGCCCATCTGCCTTCTTACAAGCCCGGCATATAATCCCCCTCGTTCTTTAAAGTGTAATTGCTGGAGTGACATGCATCATGCAGTTTACCAGCTTTGAGCTTTCAAGTTAGGTAAAGTGGCAGCTACAACAGCGGGAGGAGACAGCAGTGCTAACTGAACATCAAATTGTTGGAGGACTGAGGACAGAGCTTAGTTTGTAGTTCTAGAATTGGCATGAGATCCCACTTTTGCATCCCGTGCAAGAAAATGTCTCCACTTAACTTAAGAAGTGCTTTAGAAGGTAAGCAGGATGGAAAACCCAGAAGCCCACAAGAGAAACCTCCACAAACAGGAGTAAAATTTACACCAATTGATGCATATAATGCTTTAGAACAGTGGGGTGGGGGGCAACCTTTTGTGCAGGTGTGCTGCAAATCAGCCCCACACCTCCCCTAGTGCCACTCTGATCCTTTTCCCCGCCCAATCAGCTGCTCTGCTTTCTGTTCTGTGCTCCCTGTCTGATCTGCTGCTTTCTGCCGCTGTGTTGTCTGCTCATGGCACTTGTGGCACCCGTGCTGCAGACTGGCCACTCCTGTCTTATTTTCAGATGAAGCACTTACTGACGAGTTCTCTTCACTGGCTGATTATCTAGATGTTCTTCTGTCGGCTGCACTTGTGCCTGCACCTGGAAATACAGCAATAGAGATACAGGGTTTGGGGACATTTCACTTCTTGAAATTGCAGTTTAAGAACATGACAACACAAGTTTCTAAACACCTTCAGCAAGGATGAAGCCTGCATCTGTACACAGCCCCTCAGAATTAAGTGGAGCTCTGCATGGGCTCAGTGTCCAACAGGACTGGGCCACAAAGGAAAAACGGAAGGAAACTTTCCCTCTCCATTTTACATTTACTTTGACTCTTGTCAGAACAACTAAAAGTCAAACATCAGAAGTTTTAATCAACTGTAAAACCTAAGTTAGGCATTTCTAAAGTTCACTGCTGCTCCATCCATCAAATGAAGGCAACTTCAGCAGCCCACATCAGTTTCAACCATTTACCTTCAAAATGAAATAGCAAGAACTTGCCATTAACTTGAAATACTAATAGGGCTCAGAATAAGTCAGCTGCACTGGGGGTGGGCAGAAACAGCAAAGCAGAGCAAGATAGGAACAGGTTTTTCTCTGGAAGGCAAAAACACCCTGTTGCAAGCCAACCTGAAGTGTTTTCTATGCCACAGTAGAAAGAAACACACACCAGGTGTGTTTGTTCAGCACCAACATGAGAACTCAAATTCACTGAAACAAGACTGCTTTAGGAAGTCACTTCACAATCTACATCACTGATTTTAAGTAGTATTTGTTGTACCTTCAGACCCCTCCTAAAGAGGAAAGTTGCTTGACGTGTGTCTTTCTGCTGATTCAATTTATTTCCAATCCTGGCAAAAGGGGATGGTACGTTACTCCTGTAATATTTTGAGAAGAAAAGTTACCTAAAGTTTCTGAAGATAGCCTCATTTTAGAGAAAAATCAGAACAAGACTGTGAATTAAAAAGGAATCAGGGAGAAGATATCCACTTACAAATTCATCACTGAAGACAAAAAAAATAAATAAAAAGCGTGCAATGGTACAATGTAGGAAGTAAGCCTTTCAGTGTTGCTTATTCTGATGAGGGAGGAATAATTTTAATACACTTACATTTTTCTTCAAATCAAATTAATCTTGAGTAGACCAAGGACTGAAATAGGATTGTTAATTTATTTATTCAAGAGTCCTTAGATGACCATCCAGTCCTTCCCGCTATTCCCATTTAGCTCTCCTCTTAATTGTGGCTTTATTAGCAAAACTATATACATCTCTTAGCAAGTGTTAATTCCTTTTAACACTACTAATTAGATAGGAGAAGAAAAATTCGAAGCAGGGAGATTAAATGGTTTGCCAAAGTCTGCCTACATCTGTGTCTCAGTTGTACTCAAAACATAATTGCTAACTCTCAGCTCTATGCTTCTGCAACACATCCCAGTTCCATTTGGACTCTTCTGAGAGATTAGTGTATTGATGTATTTAAGTCAGCTAAACACACTGATATTGAGGCACAGCCAATTTGCAAGCAAAAGATAATCGATATTTAAAAAGCTAAAATTGTTCAACTGTGGTCTGTCACATCTATTTCTGAAGAGAGAAAATGTTACCAAAACCTAAAACCTTCTCAGAACTTCTAAATTATGAACTTTCTCTCTTGAGTTAAAGGAGCACTTTTAAGCAGCAAAAGAGCTGTGATTCTGATACCAAAGGCTCAGATTTGTGAAAAAAGCCAAACACTTTACCTGGATTGAAAAGAAGTGAGATCAGCACTACTGTGTTAATGTGGTAAACCTTTTGAATGCTACTGCTATTCATGTTGCTGAGTTACTCTGAGATCATTGCAGGAACAACTGCCTCCAACAAAACTCACAGAGGAATAGTTTAAATCAGGAAAGGGACAAAATGATGCAACAAGATACTGATTTCATCATGTTTGATTTCCCTGTAGATGGTGGTTTTCCCACCTGGAGAACTCCTCCTAATGAGAAGTGCCAGTGACAGCACCTTGTTTTATTGCTACATGAAATAGCCTGACAACTGTTTAATAATTAAAAAAAACCCTAACCACAGGTCACCTCAGTCTGCCTGTTTACAATTTCCACTAAAGAGCACAGTACCAGCTTGCATCTTATTTTGCCAAAACCAGAGGGTTTTCCCCATATATGGTTCCTGGATGGACAATCCTTTACATAATCTTGCCCAAAATAGAACACAGCTTTCACGGCGTTCAACAGAATTAAGCCAGGTGCCCCCAGCCTTTGCTAGTACCCTGTTTTAGATGGGAACATCATTTACACAGGGTGCCAAAAGATGAAATTTTAAGTGAGCTAGATGGCGTATAGGAATCTCACCAGTTGCTACAGGCTTTCATGCTTACAACATGCACATTTATTTTTACACAGTAATTTTTAAAAAAAGAAGATGAACAGGTTTAGTGGCAGTTTAACAGATAAGGATAATTTTGGAGGAAACTAAATATACAAATCACTTCTATAAAACTGAAGATGGCAGCAAGTCCCATAAAGGAACTTGCAGCAAGAGCAGGTCACTTGATTTGCCACTTGCAAAGTTAGAAGGATATAAGATTTCCTGTGTTGGCTACTTGTGTATAATCATGACATCTGCTCAGCAAAATCAACTAAGTAAATAAATGGAGGTAGAGAGCCAACCACAATGAAAAATGCAGTTTCTGAACAGCTCCAACAAATATGAGTGTACAAGTGTGTTGTTTGTAACATTCAACCTATGCTCAACTTTCAAAATGATCAAGGCTATTAAGTACATGGGATTTTATCCCACTAAAGATCAGATCTCTTGCTGTCCAGTCAGTGGTGCTAGAAACAGAACTCACTATCAGGTCAAAGGGAAGACCTAGAAGCAGCATCTCACCATAGCTCACTGGAGAAAAGCTCACCTCCGATTTAAATGGACAGGTCTCCTGAGAGCCGAAACTTGTTTTCTCTGCGTGTCAGGCTGTCTCTGGAGGGTCGTTTTCCTTTTCAAGGCTGGGTAGTTTCGCTGTGGGGTCTTTAGAAATGAAAAAAAATTAGAAACTATCTGAATAGTTTTCAGAGGCTTTTGTTAGATGATGCCCTTTCATAAATATTATTCAAAATGTATTACTTAGATTTAAGTGCCCCATCGATCAGTTCATTGAAAAACGAGACTGAACCCTGCATCAGACCTGCCTCATTAAACAGATAATGCTAGTATTTGTATTCTTTCCTCTACCAAAAAAGGGAGTCAAGTTTAGCTAGAACTTCCTATCCAGATCTTGTAACAAGTATTTACATTTGGAAAATATACAAGTCTATTAGAAATACAACCAACCCAGGAGTCTTCAAGAGAAGACTGGACAAGCACCCAGCTGGGGTCATCTGATCCCAGCGCTCTTTCCTGTCCAGGGCAGGGGGTCGGACTTGATGACCTACTGAGGTCCCTTCCGACCCTAACATCTATGAATCTATGAAACAGTTCTAGGACCCTGAGAGAATCCTGTTTCATCACACTTCCCCATAAGATTTCACATCACTTCCATCAATTTCCTCTAGCTTATCCTCAAATTACATAAGAACACACTTCTTCTGCCCCTTAAACAAAGCTTTCTTCTCTCCTCCTGCCCAAATCTTATTAGAACCCAATCCAGTGTAATGCCAAGTCACTTTGATAAGTTCCATGTTCCTAAACTTAGGTTTTAAAAAAAAAAAAAAGTGCAGATGTTAAGGAGTCATACTGCTGCGACTTGCATTACTCCCACCCTGATATAGACTTCTGTCCTCAATTTATATTACTTCAGATATTAGTCCAAGATGCCTTCTTGTGCCACAAAGTTTCATGTTCTGGAGCTAACTCCTTTAGTTGTAAACTGCAGCTCTGAACTCAGAAATGGAGTGGGGAAAGCATGGTATTAACTAAGTTACACTATTCTAGAATAGTGACCTGATAAAGGCCAGAACTATTGTAGCAGCAGAATTCAATTCAGAAGTGTTTCCTCCCCCGCCAAAGAACTAATTATCATAACAAGATCTGCAATCCGACAGTTAAAGTTGATGTTTTTACCAGATACCCCTATATTATATTAAGGTAACTCATTTGGCTCGTATTCTCTTTGTCATGTTTTAAATATAGCCCTCCCATTGTCAAATAGGGACAAGCTATGAGAATTGTATTCCTACCTTCTCACTAAGTGGTTGTCTGTTCAAGGGACTAATTCCTTTGCGAGCACCCAGCGCTTTCCTGGCTGCCAAGCCAGTTATGACTCCATAGGGACGCTTCTTCCCGGCTATCTTCTTTCGGCGTCCCAAACGGTTTTTACCATAGCCTATCATAGAAAAAATAAGAATTAATGACCCATTTCAGAAAGAGGTACCACAGCCTCTGTCTTTCAGCACATTGTATTTATGGAGAGCATGTCACTTGGCTATCACTTTAAGATTTAAAGCAGTAGTTATTGGCCTCATTTCATTTACCATAGCATTGCATAAGTCAGTTCTCCAAGGTCAGGCTTGACCTTAAATTGAGTAAATATGGACCACGCAGCTTTAGTGTACCTCATTGATCCAGTTTCTGTATGGTTAAATTAGCTTTTACCCAGCAGAATGGACCAGAAAGTTAGTCAGAAGCAAAAGCCTTCACTTTAGGTAGGTCACTTGCTCACTTTGTGAAGGATTGTATGAAAATGCTTTTCTGTTGGGAATGGGTAAGGAAAGCTGAAGAACGAATAGAGCTTTTAAACACTCCTCTCCAACTATCTATTCGTCCCCTTACTCCCTCACCTCTGTAGAAACTTGGCAGCACATTGACAACCAACTCTGAAACAGGAAGGAGCTCAGCATTACTGTTTCTAGTTTCTGCAGCTGATCATGAATAGAAAAAGATTTGCTGACTCTTGGAATAAGGTAAATGGCAACAGTGCAAAAATACTGAGATGCTTGAGAACTGTTCAGAGCACAAGACAACACTAACATGAACTGGATCAGGGCTCATTTTCAGCTAGAAGGAATCCTGAAAAGCCCTCCAGGGAACAATGTGATTTTTCAAGATCTCAGAAGTTTAGAAAAAAAATAGTATTCATCTTTACCTAAACCTAGTAATAGCAAAGGCCCACCAGGGACACAAGGAGCTAATTTATATAAACAGGAGACCATTTAAATTTGGGCTGCACGTGTGAGGAAGCATTTAAGCTTTCCAAATACGATAAACTCGTTAGGACACCAACTTAGTTTTCATACAAAGTTCACGTTCTGGCACTTACCACACACAATATCCCAGTTTGTGCTAAAAACACACTTTAGAAAAGAATCAAGCACTGTAGCAAGAAGCACTGTGGGGTTACAGATTACATAAACAAAAGTTGTATGAACATTTCCAGTATTTTAATTGAGATTACACTGGAATTTTCTTAGACAGCTGATAGTCAGGTGAACTGCTGTTAAATGAATACGTTCATAATTTGAGTTCTCCATTATTCATTTTAGCACCACAAATTCTGATGAGGCAACACACTTTTGATTAGTCAAGTGACCTTGCTTAATAGTTTATTGTCCAGGGCTGAAAAGGTACTTTTCAAACCCCAAATGTCAGAAGATTCAGTTAGCACTTCAGCAAGGGTGAAAGTCATGTGTCAGGTTAGCAACTAGGAATCCCCCAGGAGCAGATGAATCCTGTTTGCTGCAAATACTGGTAATTAGTAATGAAACCTTGAGTAAAGTTAGGTCAGCTTAAATGGTGATTGTAAACCTAGTCCCTTTCTCGCTTCCCGTCTGCATGCTTTTCTCACACACCTTTGATCTACTGTGACAATTGTGCACTTGAATAGTGAGACATGACAAGATGTTTATTCACAAAAGAACTGGAACAGTTGGTTCAGACATACTTCACCATCCCTTTGTGCATTCTGGAAAGTAAAGAACTCCGTTTGCATTAAGGCTCATTTTACAGGCTCAACACAGACACGGTTAGAGCTGCAACAGGACGCGGAAGGGCAAGACAGACAGCAGCATCCCTCAGAGAGGGCTGCTAGGCAGCTAGAACGTCTGGGCACTTATACACATGCAGGAAGCCTGATCCACTGTGCTGGAAATCCAGCACATCGGAGCAGATTCAACTAATCGAGTCCGCTGGAGCACGTGAACTGACACGCTCTGGCAGCCTCATGTGCCACATGTATCAGCAGTGCAGCACGCCTCCATGCTGAGAAAATGGCGGTGGTGCACTCTGAACTAAAAAAAAAAATCTCTCAGTGTGGAGGCATGCCTGCACTGCTGATGCATGTGATGTGCATGTGCTTTTAATTAGTGTGGCTTGCTAATTAAAAGTGCCTGGTGGTATACAAGGAGCACGTGTAAAAAATGCCCTGAGTGTAGCAGCTTAGGTCTAGAAAAGTGAGTGTTAGGGGTTCACAAACACACTTCCTAATTTACCTAAGACAGACTATTGTGAGACCTTCTTCTCCCCACCCAAGAAGAGGGCTAAACATAGTTCACAAAGTATCATCAGTACTACTTCCAAGAAAAAGCTGGTGAGATGAGCAAGAGTACCTAACTCCTGAAGGAGTTTGGCAGCCCCTCTCTGCCAAACACTGATCCCACATGGAATCACTGACACTGGAATCACATACATATGTCCAACTTATACCACGCTATTTGGAAGATATTTAACTTAAAAAGCCATCAAGTGAACTTGTACATTTGCATTAGATTCAAAAAGAGTTGCCGTCTGGCTTTAATTTAGCAGGTGACATCATCACACAGTACTCACATTAATTGGGGGCTGCACTTTCAGAAGGCACATACCTTTCTGCTGTTGGATTCCCCACCTGGTCCCCTTCATTCTGAACTGTCGAGTTCGGTTTTGCTGCAGCCCTCTCCTCATTTGGGGGAAATACTGCTTTCTCTCTTCTTTTTTATTCAATTTAATTATATCATCTGCAAAAGTTAAGATTTATGATGCATTTTAGACTTATTTTAAAAGGGTAATAAAATTATTTGCTGCAAGTTACACCCTGTAGTCCTTGTACGCAGGCTTCCTTAAGTATTTATCTTGCATTACATATTGCTCTTGGAGAACCTAAAGCTCAGCTATCCAGTGAAAAGTCAACAGCTTACACAGCCCAGTGAATAGCAGTAGCTTTCCTGTGCCATGTTATTGTCCTGGTATTAGAGGTGCACCGATACCTCGGTCCACGTTGTATTGGCACCGATAAAAGGAAAAAACTGACATTATCAGCAGTCAGCTCTTTTTGGTTGATGCAGACCATAATGTCACTGATAAAATGTTGTGGGCTTGGGTGCAGCTGCAGCATGCACGCAGTCAAGAGTGCAGTCTGGCAGTGTGGAGGGCAGTGTCTAGCTGGTAAGTCTGTGGTGGGGAAGAGGGGCAGATTGATGCCCCCCACGGTGAAGCAGGGACAACTCCCGCTGCTGCATGCACCCCTAGGGAGGCATGGGGGGAGTATGTGCCCCACAGATTAATGTATGGGGCAAGGGCAGGCTGCCACTGCAGGCTGAGGCCAGGGGCAGTACTGGGCTCTTTCGGGGGGGCGGGAGGCCACAGATTAATGTATGGGGCAAGGGCAGGCTGCCACTGCAGGCTGAGGCCAGGGGCAGTACTGGGCTCTTTCGGGGGGGCGGGAGGCGTTCACAGTTGGTAGGGTGGGAGGGGACCTGAGGAGATCTTCTAGTCCGACCCCCTGCCGTGCCAGGAAAGAGTATTGGGGTCAAACGACCCTGGCCAGATGTTTGTCCAGCCTTTTTTTAAAGACTCCCAGGGTAGGAGCCAGCATCACTTCTTTTGGAAGTTGGTTCCAGGTCCTAGCCGCCCTGACAGTGAAGTAGCGCCTCCTAATGTCTAGCCTGAAACTACCCTCTGCTAGCTTGTGTCCGTTGTTTCTTGTAACTCCCGGGTGTGCTCAGGGGAACAGGGACTCTCCCAATGCCTGCTGGTCCCCTACTAGTTTGTAGACTGCCACTAGATCCCCCCTCAGCCTTCTCTTGTGGAGGCTGAACAGGTTCAGGGTTGGGCCGAGGCTGCTCTCGGGGCAGGTGGCAGTGGCGCTGGCCCCAGCCTCACTCCCTCCCTCATCATGGGGGCCTCAATCTGCCACCCCACACCCTTTCCCTCCCCACCTGTCAACAGACTTACCAGCCGGAAGCTGCTCTCCAAGCTGCCAGGCTGCACATCGGCAATTGGATTGGTATTGGCTGATACACCTCGTTAATAATCGGCCATTGGTATCAACCCAAAAAATCTTAATCGGTGCACCCCTACCTGGTATACTTCACCTCAGTTATCAATAGGCATGTGGTAATACTTATTCAGAGATTTACATGAAACCACGCTCAAAAGACTTTTGCTTTACAACATAACTATTATTCTCCTGGAGGTATGACTACTTTAAACTGCAGCTTCACCGAGCACATCAAGTTTCTATTATAATACAAAATGCTTTATCCTTAAACAATAAGACAGCCTCGTGCCATGCCGCAAATATTTCTGTGCTACAGACAGGTTTCTTTGTGGAGTGTATTAAATATCCATAGAGCAGTCATGTGGCAATTTGTGGCAGCTATTAAAAGAGCAGCTTCTGGAGACAATTTGAGCAGCTGGAAATAGATCAACGTTTTGAGGGTGATTGTACAAAGCAACCAGAAGAATCTGGCCTTCCAAGAAATCTGTTTCAAATGAAGTGTCTGAGAACATAACACTGTTAACGATACAAAGCCCGGAAATACCAGTTAAGGTTTTAGAAACACTGGTTCTATAATACTACAGATTTTGACTACATTAACAGCACACATTTTATCACATAGCGTTGTAAGCACATATTTAACCAGGAGAGAAAGTAGTCATATGACACGCAGCATACTCTGCTTGTGTGTGTACCATGTGTGTATAATTCACTATAACATAATACCAATCCCAGTTTCTTGTTAACCCACCAGCTGTGACAAACAGCAGATATGCAGATAAGCACATACACCACTAACGTGCATCACATTGTTCAGCTCCGCTGTCTGCTTTGTAAGTTAGCTGAATTATAGTTAACTGCAAACTAACTAGAATAGTAGCTGTCTATTTTGTAACTAGTTGTGCTTCCTTAAGCTGGGCTAGAAACAGTGAAGGGGAAGGACTCTCAAAGGTCTGGGGAAAGAAGACGGACAGAAACATGAGTTATTTCTCCACACGTTCCAGAGCTGCCTCAAGCAGCCCAGAAGCAATTAGTAGCTTTGGAAATGATGGAAGCTAGACCGTACCAGGGGGACCATAGGAATGACAGCTTGGTAAGCAATGTTAGTTAAGTACACCCATGGTCAGCACATCATTTTGTTCTACACTTTTCATTAACTTTATTCTCCAAACAGGAAAACCACCCAAGAACCTTAGATCTGTTTTAAAAACAGATATAATTCACCCTGCATTACTTGTCGTGCTGGCTACACAAATCTCAAAATTATTAGCAAGCATCTTTGAGAACTCGTGCAAGATTAGAAAGGTTGGGATAATGTTTGCTTTTTCCCAATCCTGTGGGACCTTTCCCAAGGAGAACTCAGGAAATTATAGAACAGTCGGCCTAACTTCTACCCCTGGAAAGGTAAATTATCAATGTAAGTATTTAGAAGATAATGACATGATAAAAACAGCCGAGATGGGTTGTAAAGAACAGACCATGTTGGTAGAAATCATAGAAAAGCGAGGGTTGGCAGAGACCTCAGGAGGTCACATCTATTCCAACCCCCCGCTCCAAGCAGGACCAGCCCCAACTACATCATCCCAGCCAAGGCTTTGTCTACCTGGGTTTTGAAAACCTCCAAGGATGGAGCTTCCACCACTTCTCTGGGTGACCTGTCCCAGTGCTTTACCACCCTCCTTGTGAGAAAATTTCTCCTAATATCCAACCTCAACTTCCCTTGCTGCAACTTGAGCCCATTGCTCCTTGTTCTGTCATCTGCCCCCACTGAGACCAGTCCAGCTCCATCCTCTTTGCAAACCACTGCAGGGAGTTGAAGGCTGCGATTAAATCCCCCCCCTAAAACCATGAGGTGAGCTGAGTGGATAAGGGGGAAGCAAGAGATATGCTGCATTTTTCAACACTGTAACATAATGTATTCTCATAAGCTAATGAAATACGGGTTTAGATGAAAGCTCAATAATGTGGATATAAAACTTTAAAATAAAGTCACTCTCAGAGACTGGTAATCAATGGTCAGGCTAGGAGGACATTTGACATGAGGTCCCAGAGAGGTCTGTTGTAGATCTGGCTCTATCCAACATTTCCATGTGCTTACATAAATTTGCTGATGACACCAACCTGTGAGGATTTACAAGCATTCTGGAAAACACTATCAGTATTCAAAAATGGGAAACTGGAGAGAGGACCCAGTTAACAAGATAAAACTCAACAAATACACGCATTACACCTAGGAAGAAGAAAGTAGATGCACAAACACAAAATGAGAAATAAATGGCTATGTAGCAGTACAGCAAAAAAGAAACTAAGGCTTCTAGTGAGCCACACACACTAAGTGTGATTCTCAGTGTGATACTGTTGAGAAAAAAAAAAGGGGGGGAAATTTTATTCTGGTTTATATTAACCGGAGCATTGTATGTAAGAAGTGGTGGCTTCACCTCTACTTGGGACCACTGACTTCTCAGCTGGAATACTGCATTCCACTTTGGGCATCACACTTTTAAGTCAGACATGAACAAACTGCCTTGGTTGGTATGTGGTGGGGCAGGGGTGGGCAAAATGAGGCCCGCAGGCCAGATGCAGCCTGTCAAGCCACAAAATGAGGCCCGCAGGCCAGATGCAGCCTAAAAAGCCATTCTATCCAGCCCACGGGACCACTAAAAAATTTAGAAAATTAATATTTATCTGCCCCAGGCTGCCTGTCATAAGGCCCTCGATGGCTTGGCAAAACTCAGTAAGCGGCCCTCCACCCAAAATAATTGTCCGCCCCTGTGGTAGGGCGTGCTTTTACTCAGCCTTAGTGAGGCCGCAGTTGGAGTACTGCATCCAATTCTGGGCTCCACACTTTAGAAAAGATGTGGAAAAGCTTGAGAGAGTCCAGAGGAGAGCCACATGCTTGATTAGAGGTCAAGAAAACAGGTCTTACGAGGAGAGACAGAGCCATGGGACTCTTTAGCCTGGAGAAGCAGAGACTCAGGAGGGGACTTGGTGGCAGCCTATAAGTATCTAAGGGGGGTGCATCAGAAACTGGGAGAATGTCTGTTCACCGGGGCACCCCAAGGGAAGACAAGGTCTAACAGTCACAAACTGCTGGAAAACCATTTTAGATTGGGCATAAGGAAAAACTTCTTTACCATCCAAGTCTCCAGAGTCCGGAATAGATTCTCTCCAAAGTCATGCAAGCACCTACTCTGGATACTTTCAAGAAATGCTTGGATGGTTATTTCGCTGAGATGACCTGACCCCAGCTGACTTTCTGCCCCCTTGGCCAGGGGGCTGGACCCAATGATCTCACAAGGTCCCTTCCAGTCCTAATGTCCATGAAATCTATGAAACTAGAGAGGTCCAGAGGAGACCAACAACAATTAGAAGCCAACATGCCCTACGAGAAAAGGCTGAATGACTGTTTGTTCAGTCTAACCAGGACAAGACTGAGGGGAAGATGTGATAACCATCTTTCAATATATAATGGTTAGTATAACAGGATGGTACATCAATGGGTGATCAAGGTCCCTTGTGGTCTCATATTCCTATACTTTAAAAAAAAAGGGAATTTTCTCCCAAACATTTAGTCCCCTACCACTACGTTTTCAGAACCTAGATTCTTGCTGTTTCAGACTTTAACCTGAAACACTACAATTTGTTGCCACAGAAGAGGCTGCCAGTTTCCCCAAGAGTGTACTTTAAGTGACCATGACTGTCTTGTTTGGGAGAATAATCCATTCATTCCCTAATCACCAGCTGACACATTGGGCATTCTCCTGCCTCAACCTAAGCACAAAAGGTAAAAATCACAGATGGAACAGCGGAAGTCAGGCTAAATTACCAAGTCGGTGCCTAACCTCAGACCTGATGCTCCATAATATATAAGCATCAGACACAGTTCATCAGTGTGGCAGGAACTACTACGGTGATATAACATGAGAGATGTGGGATTTTAGGCTTTATCATCATTCCAATCCTACAGAAAATTACATAACTTTAGCTAGTGGACCATAGAAATATAAGTTACCCTAGCAACAAGCCAGATAAGGGAAAGCACAAACAGAAGAGTGTCTAAACAGCATCATTCATGACACATCACCATTTCTCTGTAAGGTATTATTACTGACACACCTAGAATAGCTCCTTAGCACGTCATCATCAGATAACCTGGTTCCAAAGAGAAAAAAAACACTAAAGCGATACCTACACTAGAACAAAGCACCCAGAATAAATATCTTTGCTAAGCTCAGCATTTGTGGAAATGAAGTGAACCAGCGTGCCCTACCATATACAAACCAAGGCAAAAAAACCCCTCTGTACCCAGGAGAGTTCTGAGCAACATCTCGCAAGTCATTCAAATGGGCAGGTCCATTAGCTTCTCACCAAGACTACTTAACTGTCCAGAGCAAGTTGTAGAAACCCAGGTATTTTAAAAGGAATGGAAAACTTAGGGTGCCTGTACACGAGCAGCGAGGCTGCTTCGAAGCGCTGTAACTACAACACATTAGAGAAGACCTGATTAATCGAGTGCTGAAGCATGGCTATTACTGCACTCCAACAGATTCTGGTGTCTTGTGCATCAGCATCCCTGCACTTTAAAAGGGTGGCAGGGGCAATTTAACTACAAGCTTTATTTAAAGCGCCCCACAACCATTTTTAAGCACAGGGACACTGAAACGGGAGATGCTCTGGGCACTTTAATTACAGTGGCTCTCAGAGCCGCTCTACTTGAAGTGCCCCCCACTCCTGAAGCACGTGTCTAAATGCCCATAGGGTCTTACTCCCTTTTATGCATTGGCATAAAAGCAATATAATCCCCTTCTCAATAAAGAATGTTTTTATAGGAGAAAGTTGGGTCTTGTCTGCCCGGTTTTCTTGGAAGACTACGGAGCACAGGCAGGCTAACAGGATTAAGACAGTGTAAATATCAAAACATTGGTGTGGTTAGCAGAGAAGACACCGTTTCATCGCCAGTTTTAGCTTGGCTCTTCTGACAAACATCTAATTCAGTGGTTCTCAACTTTTTTTGTACCAGGACCCATTTGTAAACATCGATGGACCCAGTAAATAGTTTTATGTAGAAAAAGCAGCACCCCAGCCCTGCCGGTGCCCCTCACTCCCAACCCTCTGCCTGCAGCGTGCGGGGAGGAAGGAGGTGTGGGGCAAGGGGCCCCCCCAAGCGGGCTGGATCTCTGCCAGCCTGCAAGGTGAAAGCCCCAGTTTCCCACATTTTCCTTCTTAAAAGGAGAACCCATTTTTTAAAGTTTGCTTGCGACACCTTTGTGTGCTCTTGCGACCCACGGGGTGAGAAACGCTGGGCTGGTCGACACCCAGCCTGTCAAGAGGAGAAGCAAGCGACTCGGTGCAGGGTTGCCGACTCTCCCCACTTCCATTGCAGGAGCCCATTCCCTGGGTCTCTTTTGGGGGACCCAGCTGCAAAACCAAGGCAGAGCAGGCACTTCGAATGGGCAATGCGTGTGGGCAACCCTTGGCCGTGCCCAACACAGGGGTACCAGCCTGGCTCACCAGTTGCCCCCCAACACTCCTCAGCAAGGGGCCCCTGAGCGCAGCCGCAGGCCCCGGCGGAGGGCACAGGCCTGCCCAGTCCCCAGCCCAGGAGGCAGGCAGGAGTCAAGGAGCAAGGGTCAAGGAGCAGGGGTCACACCCCTCCCCCCCAGGGGCCTCCCCAGTGCTCTGAGCCAGTCGGAAGAGTCCATTCACTGAGCGGGGCCCAACGTTCTCTCCCCTCCCCGACATCTTTACAAGTGGTCGGGTCCAGCCTGTACCACCGCAGCCCCTCACCCTACGGCGCACTTCGTGCAGCCCAACTCTCCCCGCCCCCCCCCGCTACATCGACACTTGGTTCGGTCCACCTCCCAACCCCCATCATCGACACACAAGTGGGGAGGCCGGGGGCCCTCCTCACCCAGGGACATGTCGATCTTCTCTAGGCTGTCGCTCCGGGCCGCTGCGCTGGAGCCCGAGGGAGGCGCCGCAGCACCAAACCCGTTCATGGCTGCCCGGAGAACTACCTCCACTCCCTGACCAAGCCAACCGCCGCGGGCTGTGCGCATGCGCAGGGCGCGACAGCGCATGCGCAGTCGTCCCGCCCTTTTCCTCGGCGGCCGGACCGCTGCTGCGCGTGCGCAGTTGGGCCGGAGCAAGGCGCCTGCGTCAAGGGCGGGTTGGCAAGAGCTCTGCGCATGCGCGGGGAAGGGGGCGCTCCCTGCCGAGAGGGGTGAGGACGCAGGGCGCCTCCTAAGGGCGGGGAGGAGCAGGCGCCGCAGTGGGCATCGAGACAGGCCAGTGACCCGCGTGCCACCCTTGTGCATGGTGGATGAGTGCCCCGGGCACACGTGCATGCCACTGCAGGCCTGCTTCCGCACTGCAACTGCCCCCACGCGCCACTGCGTTGCTTGATTGCCATGCATGGGCCCCTGCAGCCTCCTGCTCCCAGGCAGCTGTGCTGTGCTCCGTCTGATACCCACCCCCAGCCCTCTAATACCTCCAGGCAACTGTGCTGTGCCTCCTCTGATACCCACCCCCAGCCCTCTAATACCCCCAGGCAACTGTGCTGTGCCCCCTCTGATACTCCCCAGCCCTCTGATACCCCCCAGGTAGATGTGCTGTGCCCCCTTTGATACTCCCCAGGCAGCTGTGCTCTGCCGCCTCTAATACCCTCCAGCCCTCTGATACCACCCCCCCAGGCAGCTATGCTATGCCCCTTTTGATACCCCCCAGCTCTCTGATACCTCCCAGGCAGCTATGCTGTGCCCCCTTTGATACCCGCCAGCCCTCTGATACCCGCCACCATGCAGCTGAAGCCGCTCCTTGCCAAGATGCATGGGTCGTTCTGTAGACATCGGCATGCACGCAAACGCTGCCCATCCTCCCTCTGGGCAGCTGCTTATGATCCTCTCCAACGGATGCATCATCATCTCGCAAAGAGCGGGTGTTCAGTGGCGGGGCCACAGTTTGGACCCGAAGGAGGCAGGTTTCCAGTCCATGCTCCAACCGCAGACTGGCAGCCTGATGTTGAGCGAGTGTCTTGTCCTCGCTGTGCCTCTTTTGAGAACAGGCTAACCATGCTGTGATGATCTGGTTAGCGTGGGACTAGGCCCCTGCCTTCTAGTGAATGGAATCGCTCAGTTGCGGTTTCCCCCTTCCTTGTTCCTTTGGCCTGTTGGTTAAAAGCAAGTGGCACTCAGGGGCATCTGAACCCCAAGACCTCTGGGCTTGGGCCTGTGCGTAGGATGCCTGCCATGGCTCTGGAAGTATCTGAAGCCCTAGGCAGAAAACTCTGGGAAGGCGGATACTTGCCAGTGGTAGTGCCACAACGGTTTGAATGATTGAGTTCTGCTCAATCAACAGATTTCAGAACTGATTTGGCTAATTTGACCCAGAACATATATATATATTTTTAAATTATGTCATAAGACCAGTACAGTTAATGGAGAGTCTCTTCTCTTTCTTCTCGGAGCACAAGGCTCTAAAGTGCTGTACTTTTAAAGTGGGCAAAAGGCTCAAGGTAATGACAGATAAAGTATGGGGAGCTGTAGATTTGCTGTTTTACTTTCTTAAATTGAGTTGATGGAAAGTTACTAGGCATAATACACTGATATTTGTAAAGTGCATCTGATGAATGATGCTATAGAACTACCAAGTTGTCTATGCATATTAATGATCAAAATCAGTTGTTAGATGCTTTATATACATTTTCAACCCGGCTCTCATGTTGGCATGAGATGGGGCGCTGGCTGGGCAAGGCAGCATACCAACACTGAGATAAAAATGCTTTGTTAAACCCACTTCCAATATGACAGATGCTGCCTGTCCAGATGGCAAGTGGGAATCAGACAAAATCCAGACAGCCTACACAACAGCTGTTGCTAGTTTTAGCTATCCAAACCAGGAGGCCAGCCACCTGCAACTGGACACAGACAAAAGGAAATTGAACAAAGGTTGCAATCGAAAGGGGTATTTGTTCCAATCCTCTCAAATACCACTAATGGCCAAAGTCACTAAGGGGTCACTGAAGGGGTGAAGCAAACATCAGCCCCTGGATTTATGGCTCTTTGTCATGAGAGTACAAACAGCTAAGAAACTGGCAGCTTTTCTCATCACGTGATTACTGGGATTATTGTAGGGGTGGGGCATCGGCCCATCTGAATCCAGTTGGTATTTTTTCCTCTTAAAAAATCTACACATCTTTTTAGTCCATGATATCACTGGCTGTCAGGGGAGCTGTCTGTCTGGCAGCCCCACATACAGAGTTGAAGTCCCTGGTTCTGCTCCTGCTGATGGGTAAACACCGGGAGTGAAACACTATAGGAAGTGCTTAAATTGCCAGGAATAACTGCACCCAGATTGTCATTAAAGAAGTTGTGTAGATACATCTTTTTTAAGGCTAGAAGGGATAATTAGATCATCTAATGTGACTCATATAGCACAGGCCATAGAGTTTCACCCAGTATTAAACCCAATTACTCGTGCATATTTTCCTGTAAGATATCCAGTCTCAGTTTGAAAACACTGAGGGATGGGGAATCTACCATTTCCTTTGGGAGTTTTTTCCTAGTGGTTAAATACCCTCAATTGTAAAATTGCATGCCTGGTTTCTAATTTGAATTTCTCTGGCTTCAGCTTCCAAACACTAGTTTCCGCAGTACGTTAAAGAGAACATTTTGCAAATGAACACATTATACAAACAAAATATCTGGTTTTGCATCACTAATGTTTGCGTCAAATAAAAAACTGTCCTGGAAGTCCTTAAATACTGTTATATCATCTCTGTCATCCTCAGGGAATCTGGCCTCATGTATTTCAAAATATTTTCCCATAACTGTATAGTTTAAATCAATCGGTGTAATACGATTCTAGGGTCCCACCCAAAACCTAGTCCAGGGATTCTCAAAAAGGGTGCCTTGAGATCCTTTCAAGGGTGTTGGTACCACACAGTTAGCGCTGTTAGGTGTGCAAACAGGATTCACAAGATAAACCCAGGAATTTAAAATAGGAATTCCTAGTGTTAAAACCATTTTGACTTGTTGTGGTCTTCCTGAGTTCTTTGCACCATAAGCATTAATCTAGAATTTTTCCGTAGTCCAAAAATGAGTGAATACTAAGAGTTGCAATTTTTTGAGGGACACTTTGAGTCTACTGAGGGGTGCATTGAGTCTAAAAAGGTTAAGAACCACTGACCTAGTCCCTGTTAAGTCAATAAAGTTAATGGATCTGTTCACGTCAGTAAGTTCTGCAGGAGTACACTTTTAGTTTGCTCTGATATTTCTGCTGTGAGAGTCAGTACATTTATTGATGGTCTGATATGGACTGGGCCATATACAACCTGGAAATTTTATGTGCACGATAGGGATAGAGTAGTTTCTTGCCCAACAAAACATACTGGGAGCAGTTGTTCACTGGTACGATATAATACCTATAATAGTGTGGGATTTCAGTTTCTTCACTGAGACTGAGGCTGAGAAGTACTTAGGTATTATTTCTAATACAGTAGTGACTTAGAGTTCTGGAAAACTTAGAGTTACTGCAAAATAGTATACCATATGGTATAAGGAGCAATGCAGTAAATAACTCATAGCTTATGAGTTATTTACTGCTTTGCTCCTTATACCATATGGTATAATGTGTAATGCATTGCTCCTTATACCATATGGTATGGTATACTATTTTGCAGTGATTTGAGTCATAGGGATATTGGGCTGGAAGGGATTTCTTGGTTCATTTGTCCAAGAGTGTACAAGAACATCTCGCCACCAACTAAAATAGCTGGAAAAATTCTTCTTTGCTTATAATGCAAATTCTCCTAGTCATGGATTGCATCTTCCTCTTTATATTGACAGTGGCCAGCACACCCTCATGCTATCCCAGCACCAATAAACACAATATAAGCAATAAGAGCACTGACAGCACTGATGTGTGACAAAATACAGGGATTTTGAATCCGAGAGATAACTAGAACACATCAAGCACCTTGTCACATCTACCTGGACTTTATGCCTTATGATTGTTTGTCATGGGCTAGTCCCAGTCTGGTGATGGTGACAGTATTTTTTTCATCCTCCTTGTCTACCTCCATAGTTCAGCACAGTTTCCCTTACCCGTTTGTAATGGAAAGCCCTTTATATTTCTGATAAATCATGGAAAAATTTTCTTGTGCTTTGGAGAGTGGACCAGGCAAGGCGGACATTTTAATGGTTGGACATCGTGCCTTTGTCCTCCCACCCTACTGATTCAGAATTTGGTAACAAGATGTCTAAATCGGGTACGTTTCATTCCAGTGCATCTGCTAGCACGATCCTTTAATCCAGGGATCTGTCTTAATTCAGTGTACGGTGCACCTGGGGAATGGCTCATTGCTTGGGTTTTGGTCAAACATCTTCAGATAAGGGCTGGCTTCCTGAGCGGGATCACGGCGGCTGTTGTTGAAACCTGGGCAGATGCGGTGCTGCCTCGGCTCGTGTTTTTCTTCTGCATGAACCCATGCATTTATCTGCATTAACCCTGCGACTGAACCCAAGGGCCGCTCGCTGCGGCGGACGAGGAGGATGAATCAATCCCTGCTCTGCAGGAGGGGGTTTCTTTGCAAAATGACAATTTTGCAGGCAGCAGTACACATAATTCTCCCAGGGCAACTGAAGCACCGCAGGCAGGGTATCCCCCATCCCCTTTGCAGAGGCCCAGCTCAGCAGCCCTGCGCAGGAGACACAGGCAGGCTGCAGCTGAGCGCGCATGCGCAAGGCGACGCTGCGCAGGGAACGCCGGGAATTGGAGTCTTTCGGGCGCGGGCACGCCGGGAGCTGCGGGCGTGCGCGGGGTATGCCGGGAGTAGTAGTTCGGCGCAGCGCGAGGCATGCTGGGAGCGGTAGTTCGCGACGGGGCGGCGCCAGGTGATGGGCAGCGCCGAGTCAATTCGAGATCAGGAGCTGGTGGAGTATTGTTGTAGGGGTGGGGCAGCGCTGGGGTAGTAATGGGGGTGGTAATAATGGGGGCTGGGAAGTATCGGTAACTGTTGGGGGTAATAATGGGGGGATGGGGCAGCACTAAGGGTACTAGGAGTGTAAGGTATCAGTAACTGGTTGGGGAAGTAGCAGGGGTATGTGGGGCAGCATGGAGGGTAATAATGAGGGATGAGGCACAGCTGGGGTAATAATGGAGGGTGTGAGGTATCAGTAACTGCTGGGGGTAATAATGCAGGGAGTGTGGGGCAGCGCTGGAGTAATGGGGGGTTGGTAATAATGAGGGGGCAGCACTAGGGTAATGTGGAGTAGCACTGGGGGTAATA